CGCCCCCCGCATCGATGCACCCGAGGGGACTCAGGATGAGAGCACGAGATGCTGGCCCCAGGTAGCTGAGGTGCATATCAAAGGAATGATTTCAGTGAGCTCAGACCCTTGCATCTTCCCATACATAGAAAAGTGCTAAATTCCTTGAGATATCTGGTTTTCTTTAATTAACCGTAATCTTTTGATGCTCCGATTACCTGGTCTTTGTTGCGGAAAACCTTCTACCTATCCTGGTTCCTCCTTTGCCTCTTTGGAGCGGTCCCTCAGAGCTATCTGAGACGCTGTGTCCCAGGCTTAAGTCCTCAGTTTTGTCCACTGAATAAAACATAATTCTCAACTTGTAGGTTGTGCAGTTTTTTCAGTCAACAAGTTGTTCCAAGCAAATAAGCCCCTCCTCTCTGAAACCTGCCGTTTAGGATCCAAACTGGCTTGTGTTAATCTCTTTCAAGTCACACCTCCGAAAAGATGGTTAATGGCCTTCACCCTTCCCTTGATCATTCCCGCTGCCTCTCTGATCTGCGGTCTCACTTGCAGTCCTCATCGCCCTCACCAAAATCATTTCAGTTCCTCTTTATACCTTACGACAATTATAAACACAAATGTCATACTCTTTCCAATTCATTCATTGCCTGCTGTGAGACCCTAGGAAGCAAAGATAGATAAGGCCCTCGCTTTCATGGAACAGGGAATCAGTCGTAATAAATAAATATAACAGACCAATCATGCTGTAATAATATGTGCTAGGAGGAATATGTAACAGTGCAATCACACGGATGCCCACGGAAGGCCTCAAAGCAGGTGGTGTTTGGGTTGAGACCTGAAGGAACCAGGAAAGCAATCTCTCACAGAATAGCAAGTCATCAGAATGTCCCGGAGGATGACAGCTTTTTATAGGTGACATTTCATGTGCTCTTGAAATACGAAGAGCTGAACTCATGGACTGGCCCCAAGCTCCAAGGCGACGTGCTTGTACTTGCTTTCATGAACTAGCCGGCGCCTAGAAAATCGAGGGCCAGTCTGCTTTAATTTAAGTATAACAAGAATCACAATAGTCAGAGTCATCCTGTGATGAATAAAATAGGCACAAAAACAGCAGGAGAGAGATGCTTCCATAGTACAGCTCTTGTTGTTGTTATTGTTGTTTTGGCTGCACCACGTGGCTTGTGGGCTTTTAGTTCCCCGCCCGGGGATTGAACCTGCGCCCTCGGTAGTGAAAGCCCCGAGCCCTAGCCACTGGACCGCCAGGGAAGTCCCAGCTGTTGTTGCTTTGGTGTGTGAGTTAGCTGGGTCCCCTGCCTCGTTTCTCAAGGTTGGGGTGCCTGGCACCCTCAGGGGTCCCCCCATACAAACAGAAGGTCACAAACACTAATTGGGCTCACACGCAGGAATTTAGGGAGGACTGGCCTTGGAAGGGCTCAGTGGCTTCTGTCTGCTCTTGCGGGAAGTGGGGGAGGAGTCAGGAGCGGGAGGCCGAGGTGTGAAGGCTGGAGAATGAGGTCCTCAGTGATTGAGAATTTCCAGTATCCCTGCGGGCCCGTTGCCTTGGCAACCTGCCCTCCCTGCCATTCATGTGGTTCACAGCTGGAGCAGTTCCTGGCCCAGCTCGGGCCCCTGGGGGGAGGTGCTCATTTGCCTGCCAGGGACCCATCAGACGGGGAGGCTTCGAGGTGTGCCGGGCGCTGCCAGCTGCACAGTGGGTTTCGTTTCCTTTTTGTTAGAAAGTCCACGGTGAACTCAGGAGCGTGGGTGGGGGTCGGGGGAGGATGCTGGGACGAGGTCGGCATTGCCGAGAAGTTAGAGTTCTGGGGGCGCCGGGGGCATTCGCCCCTGCCCGGGTCGGCAGAACTTGTGGCTGTGAGAGGCACGGAGGACGCGTTGGGGTGAATGTCCTGTCGCCTTCCAGGGGAGGTCATGTTAGGAAATGTGTCCTGAGGTTTGGAGGAACCCATGCAGGAAGTGCCCGTGGACTAACGCTGATGTTCTATGGTAGGGAACCAAGTCGTGTCATGTGTCGGCCCGGTTTAGAAAACGGAACTGTGACGAACTGTGGGGTGTTGGGAAAAATGGCAAGGAACACTTAAAAAACCCCAAAGCTCCCCTTAGAAGGCCTGGGGACTGTTAAGAGCCACTCATTAAAGTGGTTCGGTTTTACTGGAGCTGCACAGAGCAGGCGCAGAGGAAAACTCCCCACGAGGGCCCCCTGGTGGCCACGGGTGACAGCCCCACAGGTCCAGCGGGCCAGGAGAGGGGGGGCAAGGGGGCGCCCCAGGGACGGATGCCCCAGCTGCTGTGTGAAGTCCTTAGAGGCGGGCGGCCAGCTCTGGAACGGGGAGGCCCTGGATGGAGGGGCGGGATGGGGTCCACTCCACCCATTTGTATGAGAGGCCCCTGCCTGCCCCTTGGCCTCCGCCCTCTGCCCAGACACAGTGACCGGCACCGGGCTGCACAGCGCCAAACCTACCACAGCCGAGCCTGGAGGCTCTGTCCCTCCTGCTTTTTCGAGGAAAGCAAGCATTAAGGATGTTCCTGTTCCCCGATAGCTTTTTTTTTTTTTGAATTTGATTTAATTTATTTTTTTTTACAGCAGGTTCTTGTTAGTTATCTATTTTATACATATTAGTGTATATATGTCAATCCCAATCTCCCAGTTCATCCCCCCACCCTTTCCCCTCTTGGTGTCCATAGCTTTTTTTTTTTTTGTAAATATATTTTTTAGAGCAGTTTTTGGTTCTCATTGCCTAATGACTTACGACGTGGAGTGTCTTTTTCTAGGCTCATGTGTCATCTGTGCCTCTTCTTTGGTGGAGTGTCTGTTCAGATCTTTGGCCCATTTTCTAATCAAGTTTGATTTCTTTTAGTTGAATTTTAGGACTTCTTGGCATATATTGGATACAAAACCTTTGCCAGATGTGTCTTTGGCAAACACTTTCTCCCTGTCTGCAGTTTGTCTTCTGGTTCTCTTGACCTGGCTCGTCTTCCGAGCACTTGATGCAGAAATGGAGGTAAATGAGCAAGGTATGGACTGAAACCTCATGAATTTTTTGGTGTCTAAAGAGACACCAGTGGGCTGCGACCTTGAACTGAGGGCTGAAGGTATTTAGTTTCTTTTGTGGGCTTTAAATAACTTCCAGGAGAGAATCTCAGTTTAAACCACAGTGTTAACCCCTGTGCGTTCCCTTCGGTTCTCCCTGTCCTTCTAGTGATCAGCTGCGTAGACGCCGTGTTGTCCCCAAATACCATCCCACTTCAGCACTGCTCTGTAATAAGAG